ATGATGCCTCGCGTCTTCAGCTTGTCGTTATATTGAGGAATGCACAAGATGTCCAAGAAGACGTTCTTGGGGCCCAGAAGAAGAGCCCGGACGCGCTGCCAAAAGCAGAGGAGTAACAGGAAGGACAGGTGCGGAATGATGGCCACCCACCTTCCTTCCGGAAGGATCCCGAATGCCTGGAGCATTCCCAGGATGATAGACACGAGCAGGGTGGTCCAGAAAGCGGCGGGTGCATTGAAGACAATCATCAAAGAGAGAACTTTCATCCAACGAGGCGTCGCCCAATCGTGACTGAGAAAGTGGTCGTAGGAATCGACTGGCCGTACCTGAGCTGTCGTCGACGCATCCACTGTGGCGCTCGAGGAGGCGAGGTGCCGGCCGAATCCGCGGAGGCAAACGTGAAGCGGTACTCCATGCGGTTCCAGTGGTGCCAGATCCGTCGAGCTGCTTTCTATAGATCCTGGTGACTCCATGGCGCTTCTTGGCTACTGCTGGCCTGGATGCAAGGGTTCAAGAGTTTAGGGCACGATTCAGGGCCTGAGGTTTAACGTTCTTTGGGTCTCGGGTCTAGACTTTGCGATCTAAGCTAGAGCCGAAGGAACTTGGATTTTAGGAGGCACTGCGATCGGTGTATGTGTACATGTAGATGGGGAAACCAACCGTCGCATGAAAGCTTGAGGAAGGGTTTATGCCCTCACAACTCGGACAAGCCAGGCGAGGTCCATCAGTCGAAGGGTTTCAGGTTTAGGGTAGCTTCCAAGATGCACGGTACAGTGTGGGCGCATACACTTTCGATGCTCGTTAGTTCGTGTCTATGTTGGTGAGTTGCGAGGGGTCGTGCTTCCTAGCAGGCCAATTCTGCCGAGGCTTCCGTGATTCGTGTGGCTGCCATGGCCGCCAGATGCTTTGTACGGGACTTGTACCACCAGCTGAACCAAAACGAACGAAGTCTTGCAGACTTAAAACCCCGCCAAACATCTGACCACCCTGAACCCTAAACCCTAAAACCCTAACCCCATTACATAGGCAGGCCTAAGACGGCAGGGACCCTAATACAGACGTGGGTTTGCATCTGGGCTCGGCGGATGACAGCCAGCCCATGCACTGGAGCAACAAGACCCTGAACAGCTTCTGGTTATGAAGACCCCGTTGATATGAGGTACCTCTACTATCCCCAGCAGAATTCGTCAGCGAAGCATTGCAGAAACCCGACTTGGCCCCTCTCTTTTCCTCAGCCGGCGCCACTGCACCCGTGTGGGAGCCCTTCTGCGTCAGGGGCCCCTTAAAATTTCAAGATCCTCTTTACCCCATACTTAAAACTCCGTACAGGGGCATCGTGAAGGGGACCCTGACCCCCGCATCCAAGAGCCAGGCCTTGATTTGTCAGCGGGAAGGCTTGAGGAGCTCTGCAAGGCTCTTGCCCTTGCAGACCTTCCATGGAATCCGAGACTTCGAGTCCTTGCAGTTGGCGTCGGCCTTGGCATGAAGCAGCTCCCGGATCACCACCTCGTAGCCTCCGGCCGCTGCCAGGTGCAAGCAGGTTGTTTCTTCAGTTCTGCTGGATGGGTTCGCACGCCTCTGCAGCAAGAACTGCACAACGCTGGAGTTGCCCTTCTCGGCGGCCACGCACAAGGCGCGATCCATGTCCTCTGCATCCAGCGGCTTCCACTTGCAAAGAAGCTTTATGAAGCCGGAATCCGATCTGGCAGCTGCAAGTAGGAACGGAAGTCGACCCTTCGGGTCCGTCGCATCAAGATCTGCTCGCCTTCTCAGGACGTGCTCCACCATGGCCTCTGTACTTGCAGACAGCGCGTAGTGTAGGACTGGTACTCGGCCGCGGATCTTGAGCTCAGCGCCGGCCGCGCCGGCACTCAGCAGCACGTCGACGGAGAGCACATCATCACTGGACACCGCATACTGCAAGGCCACCTTGCGGTTTCGATCCTGCCGGTGAATTTCGGCTCTTGCCGCCACCAAGGCAGACACCACGGGACCAGCGCCGGCGACAGCCGCGCAGTGCAACGCCGTCCTTTCGGCCCGACCCGTCCGATTCACCTGCGCCTGAGCCTCAAGAAGGATGCTTACCGTTTCTAGGTGGCGGACAGCAGCAGCGCTATGAAGAGGAGTTTCAGTGTCTTCTGGCCGGTTGATAATCGCCCGATTCTCCAGCAAAAGCCTTGCTACAACGCTCGAGCCCCCTGCAGCAGCAAGGTGCAGGGCTGACTTAGAATCATCGTCTGTGCAATTGGTGTCGGCTGCGGCACGTAAGAGCAGCCTCACGGTGGGTAAATGGTTGAGCATCACTGCAGAATGAAGAGGTTGTGCGGTCCCCTCTGGTCTGTTGACGGCGGCCCTCTGTTCCAGAAGCATTCCGACGATGTATTCGCTCTTGTATCGTATCGTGCTGTCTAATGTTTTCGCCAACACCAGGTCGGTGGTCAGACCAAGGACACTCCATTCAGTTCTGGCGATCTGGTTGATTGTCGCAGGGTATGGGCGGGAGTTTTCAAGCTGGCTGAGAAGTTCCGCTGCCGCTTGCCTCTGCGCTGCATGCGCCGGAGGAACCACCACAAGTTGGAGAACGTCAGGGGCCTCCGCCAAAGCACTCCATCGTGTGAGCGCCATGTTTTCGTGCAAGAGGGTGACCTTAGCATCGCTCGGGTTGCCGATCCCACTCCCAAACCCCTGCTACCCATCTCTCGACTTTGCACCCCGAAACAACCTCCCACCTGCTGTGAGCTGATGCCCTTCTGTCCTGCGATCTTGAAGGTGAGGGTCTGCAGTCCGGCTGGAAAGGGCGGAACCTCGTAGCTGCCCACCTGGACAAGTCCTAAACCCGATGCTGCCGCAATCTCAAAACTTCAACCTTGAGCTGAAAACCCCCCCATCCTGTGGCATGCTGCTTGGATGGTGCCAAGACCAAACTTCACCACAGATCAATAGTGCCAAGCAGTCAAAAGAGAAGAAGCTGACTGTTCACTCCGAAGCCTTCTTCCCGGAAGCTACTACCCTTGCGTTTGAAGCTCTGCGCCTCCTCGCCAGAAAAAGACGTCACTCGGACGGCCCATGATTTTGAAGCCATGGGAAGCCGTTCACGAGCCTACAAGAACTCCTGCATGGCATAGCGATTCTAGAATATTCTAGACACCCTCTGCAAAAAAAGCTGCGTCCAGAACCGTGTGGATCGGGCATCCGCTATCTGTGGCTATCGAGCCAGGCCAGTCGGGCAAGAAATCCGCGCCGGACGTTGTGGTCTTGGGACCTATGTTACCTCCTACCCAACGTTCAAGGCAACACTTTCAAACCCCATAAAACTGTTGTTCTTGACGCTATAAAATGCTGAATGCCAGGTCCCTCTCATGTACCGAGGTGACGGCTGCAGCACTGCAGGCAGAGCCGCGATCTGTGCTGGCACTGCCTGGACGCCAAGCTGTTCCGACAGAGAAAGAGAGAGCGAGAGAGGCAGAGAGATAGAGGGAGAGAGAGAGAGCGAGAGAGAGAGAGAGAGCTATAGATAGATAGATAGATAGATAGATAGATTAGACAGATCGATAGATAGATTAAAGATAGATAGATAGATCGATCGATAGATAGATAGATAGACAGACAGATAGATAGATAGAATCAGACAACTGCGGTCCGATCCCAAGGAAACGTAAGAAAGGAACACCGATGGCACGGATAACGACAGGGAATAGTGATGGTCATGTCCATTTAGCGCTACTTCAGAACGAAAAGTCGTTCTACGCACAGGAAGTCAAGAGTACTTCTCACAGCCATGGTAATGATAGTCATGCTGCGTACCCTCGAGCCCGGGGGATTAGAACGCCATTCATTCAAAAACAGTCCCTCTTTAACTGCCAGGGTAGAAAAAGGGCTGGATTGAAATCTTTGAACAGCCCGCATAAACTCTATAAGAGCCCTGTCAAAAGGGACTCCCACTTCCCTTTAAAACCCTGAACCCTGAACCAGCAAAACCTTAACCCCGTAATGTAGGGGCCTTTATAATTAGAATAAGGTTTTGGGGGCTCCCTATCATAATTATAGTAGAATGTACCCCAAAACCCTATTCTAAGTATTAAGGCCCCTATATTAAGCTGGGACCCGACATGAGGGCCTCGGTTCGCGCTGGGTGGCTTCATCATCCTCGGAGCAGAAGAAGCCTCAGTGTTTTTCTGGTCCCCTTTGCGCTTGCGGAACCCTCAAACCCTCAAACCCTTTTTTTGAACCCAGACTCTGCCAATCAGCTGGGAAGCAGCACTTCCAGATCATTGCATCTGGGAAGTAGCGCCGCACCCTAAACCCTAAACCCTCAAGCCCTAAACCCCCAAAAACCGTAAACTCTCGTCAGGTTCGGCCTCAGGGCCCTTTTTGGGCTACAGCTTCGGGATTCGGAGCAATGCAAGGCAGGCCAATCGGCAGCCAAGCATCACTGCGGCCTGATCACTACACTCTCTACCATTCTACAACCTCCGGATGGCAAGCGTTTCCACAAGCCAACAAGTTCAACAAGCACAAAGAGCTCCAAAACGCCCCCAGCCAGGGGGCAAAACTATTTTCAAGATTCATCCCCAGCCGAAAGACGAAAAGCCAGCACCCTGAAGCTCACCGACCTTCAACCCTGCAGCACCCCTACCCATCAAGACAAAACACACGAAGCCCAAGCCCTACTGACAATCCCAAACACCCGTAAGAGACTAACTAGGCACTGAAATTCTGAAGCCCGGAGGGATCGTTTCATCGCAGCAGCTGCGCCGGCTTTACTGCATTGCACGCTCGGCGAGATGACTTTCCTCAGTCGGTCATTAGGAGGATTCTTTCAGTCGCACTTCTGTACCTTCGGATGCGTTCGTATCGTACTGTAAAAAGATGGGGGGGTTTAGGGCTTTGCAGCTTGAGATCTCCGGCGAAGTAGCATCTGGGGAGACAGAGGGGCCTTGGACTGAACATAAACCCTCAACCCTCAACCCCAAACCGTACCCGTTATAAGCGAAACGATCTACCTTTGAAGGAACTCTATCTATCTATCTATCTATCTGTCTATCTATCTATCTATCTATCTATCTATCTATCTATCTATCTATCTATATATATATATATACTCAACCCTAAACCCCCAACCGCTGCAGTGCCTTCAAGCTGCTCCGCTGTTTGAGGAGTCCAGGTCTTCAGCATCTCGAACATCATGATTCGGTCTGCCACTTTGAGAGGAGTCGACCTGTTCAGGGCTTTGGGTTTAGTATAAGGGGTTTAGGGTCAAGGGGTTTAGGGTTTAGGGGTTTAGAGTTTAGGGTTCAGGGTTCAGTATAGGGTTCTTTTTCCCTCCCACTTAGCAGGGACGAGCCCGTATTGCAGGGTAAGTTCGGGAGACTTTGGAAGATGCAACTACGGACAATCTGGACTTGGCGTAGGGTTTTTTCCCTCCAAGGGTTTCGGGTTTGGGAAAGGGTTTAGGGTTTAGTATAGGGTTTAGGGTTGAGNNTTCGACTCACACACTCGCAAAAGCAGGCATGGCGATAAGTGTCCGAGCATGCTACTTGAACAAGCTGTCACGACACAGAGCGATGTAGAACCAACTCAAAACAAGGGTTTAGGGAGCAGGGGACCTGGGTCGGGATTCGTTTACGGGCTGTTCTTGCCCGGGCACACGACGCCTCATGGTCATGTCAGTGCTGCCTCGGCCTTCTCTCGCGAGCAAAGAGGAACACCCATACGGAACCCTAAAGCGCTTAATCCGCTAAATAGTGGGACTCTTACTACAAGGGCCCACCCCTACTTTCTAAAAAACCCATACAAGTAGCCTGAAAGCCCCTGTGCTACCCCTCTGAGGCGGTCGCTGGTCCTTGCGCTCGGGGCTGGTCTTCTCCACCTTTCAGGGTTCAGCGTTCGGCCTGCTAGGGTCTTTAAGCATGCGCAACTGGGACAAGCCGGGCGGGTTTTCTAGGTCTAGGGCGTTTTAGGGCTTTGGTCTTGTAAGGCTCGTGCAACGCTTTCTTCCACGGCTCTTCCTATCTACCTGGCCGTGGAACTATGGCGACTCCAGCACAGGCTATGACGTCTGGGTCATGGGGCGACTCCCCAACAATATGGGTAGTTCTCTAAATTAGGGTCCCTTTTTAGGTTCCCAAGATAGTACGGCACCCAGGGACCCTAATTTAGAGAACCACCCATACGCAGGTCGGGCTTTGCGCACACTTGGGCTGGCAGTCAGGCTCAGCTTTTTGGGCTCGAGGCGCTGGGGGGCCGGGTCCTCGCCATAAGTGCCCTTAGAACCATCATTCAAGAAAAAGCACTTGCAATAATCCCTTGAAGTCTTACTATATTTTTCTGAGAATCAAGCACACTTCCCAAGAACACTCTAAGTCTCCCCGGCGCCCCGGTCTCAGGTTGAAGTCTCAAAGAGCACTGAACTCAGGCCCCCAGCTGCCAGAGACCCCGCAACTACTGTAGGGGCCTTAATACTTCGAACAGGGTTCTGGGCCGTTTTGGCGTATATTCTACTATAACTATAACAAGGAACTCCCCAAAAAATAGTGCAGGTACTTTTGTCGACCCTTATAAAACCTCGAGTCCTTTATTCTTGCGTGAGGCCTAGAACTCTGCAGCCTGACGTCGTCAATCTGAAGCTCCTGAAGATCCTTAAAGCCTTAAGGAATTTCCCTTGAAGGAAAAGTCGTTCAATGGGGTGGAAACTGCGGGTGTGCGCACACACGAGTCCTGATTGAGGTAGAAGTTGGCTGAAAAGTGCGGTATGCTCTCAAGCAGAGTACTTACAACCCATCATCCCCACGCCCCGCCTGGGTTTCTCCTTGCTGGCGCTCCTTGCACCGCAGGGCTTGCTGGCCGCTGGCAGGTGGCCGGATCCTTCTGAGGTCGTGTACAGCCAGAGACTTTCGGCGCTCGGATCAAGGTGTTTGGAGTTCAACTGCTGGGAAAGTTTCGATCTCGACCTTTGGGGTTGGGGCTGGGAGATCCAGACAAAGCCCTGCGCCGCCCATCCTCACCAGCCCAATCATAAAGGCCAATGCAGAAATATCGGGGTCTAAAGCCTCTGCAGTCATTGAGCCCTGCATAGCAGCGGCCTGCTCCGAACCTTTACCTCCTTCGGCGACTCTGGCGGGGCAGCAGCAAACAGGGCCTGGAGCTACCAGGGACTCCAAAATGGAGGGGCTTGAATAATTAGAATGGGGTTGGGGGTTCTAGTGATGATTGTCGTATGTGCAAGCAGAATGATAATAGAATAAGGAATGGCATTGCTAATCACCCCCTGGCCTTATGAACTACCCCGCCCATAAACCCTCAACCCCATACCCGCAGCCCCCCCCGGTGAAGCCTTAGACTTCCACTCGGCCGTGGAAATGGCCGGCCGACTTGGCAAGTGGATCTCCTCCTGGCTTCACGGGTCCATTGTTTAGGGCCCGGCGTCTAGGCGGTCTAAGCATCGTGGCTTGGGGGTGACATTTCCGGACTTCGGGGGGTTCGTGGTGGCCTCGGGGGTCAAAAAGGCTGCGACCTTGGGCTTCTTGGATTCTACGGGTTTCAAGGTTTTTGTTGGGTTTGGGGCGTCGTCCGGTGAAGCAGTCCCACTTGTGAAGTCTTACACCTCCCACGATACCTCCCGTGAGCCTCAAATGTGAAGTTCATACGGAAGCTGTTGGGCTGGTCATTGCAGAAGCTCTGACACGAGCTACTTTACATTGCTTTCACTTCTATGACTGCAGTGCTTGCATTCTGCAGGGAGAGCCAAACCTCCTTGGTGTACCTCTGACACCTTGCTATTGCATGTCTCGGAACCAGGAGAGTACTGGCCAAGTGTCGGTCGGCTCGATGGTGGAGTCCTGCAAGCTCAGCGCAACAGCTCCATGCACCCGCAACCCCCCTTAAGGCGCTCTGGCAGACCCTCCCTTCCCCAGAGAGCCCAATACCCCTTAATTCTTAATTAAGGAATATACCTTAAACCATAATATTAAGGCCCTTGATTAAAGAATAGTGGAGTCTCTGGGTTCCTGCCAGACCTTCCTAACCCTGCACTGGCCACCTGAGCTAGCGCAGCGGGTGCCGCAGGGCCAGATCGGGGCGCTGCGACGACGGTGGCCAGGGGCCTCTGTGAGAGCGGACATCATGAGGCCTCCAATATCCCTTAATTAAGGAATACACCTTAAATCGTATGAAGGATCCTACTATAATTTAAGGAATATTCCTTAATTAAGGAATATTGGAGTCTCTGGGTAGTTTGCACAATAGTGACTCTAGTAGCGGCCAACTCGAACAACCCGGGCAGCCAGCGCGCGAAAATCACGAAAACAGCTGCAGGGTGACGAGGCAACGAGACGACACCCCTCCACAGTCAGTGGTGAGACCTTCCCCATCTCCAATACTCCACCACCTTGCAGTACCTGGCTTGTTCTCCTTCCCTTCAGCTGTGCTTCGACAAGGTCCGCATTCCAGCGCATTTTCCAGGACTGGGCTTGCGCAAGCCGCTACCCCCGACACCAAGAGAGCCCACAAAACCCTAAACCCTAAACCCTAAACCCTAAACCCTAAACCCTGAACCTGATCAGAGCCTCTCCGCGGGCGCTGGCGACGGAGCGGGCGCCGCTCGCGGGAGGACCGGCTTGGCCGGGGAGCTGGGGGCCTGGGCCATGGGTTTTTTGAGATCCATGTTGGGGTTTCCGAAAATAGGGGACCCTAATATAGTACCCCTAATAATGGGATCCTTATCATAAGGACCCCAAAATAAGGTACCCCTAATTTTCGGAAACTCCCATGTAGGTTTTTTTGGTGTCACACTCGGACAAGCCTGGCAAGATCCATGTAGGGTTTAGGGTTTAGGGTTTAGGGGCTTCGGGCATATAGGTCTTAGGCTTCAGAAGCTTTAGGAGGGTTTTGTTGACACTCACACTCGGACAGGCCTGGCAAGGTCGGTAGCAATACTTAGGATGGTTTAGGGGTTGGAAGATTCGGTGAATCAGCTGAAATTCAGCAGTTGTCATTGAGTCCAAGAGCTACTTTCGCGGGGTTCAGATCCCTCGAGGCCTGCCAACGAACCCAAAACCCTCCAGGGGAACAGAACAAACAGAATCAATGCGCGGACTGCAGTCCCATCCTTTTCCTCTTCAAGGTTTGGCATCGACAGCCCTAAGCAGGCTAGCCCCAACAACAGCCCAAAATAGCACCCTCGCTCCCCCATCGTGGAACCCTGTACTACCGAAACCCTATACAACGCGCACAGAACCGCTCACAGAAGTGCACGCCGGGCTACGAGCTCTGGCGCCGGGGCTTCGGAAGGCCCTGTCGCCAAGGTTTGCTTGAAACGTACTGTGCAGGTTCTAGGAGGGTTCCTGCGCGGGTACTATCAGGATTCTATGACGGGTTTAGGGCCTCATGGGTTGAGAAGCTTAGCGCTTTCACGGCTATGGTTTAGAGTGAAGGAGGGCCTTGGGGCGGGTAACTTTAAGGGTTCGGCGCTTAGCCTACGACTTTGTCTTTGTGACTATCTGTTTGCGCAGGCTGTGCTTCAAGACTCCGTGAATTTTGGCTCCATTGTTCATCCTTCGGCCTCCTGCTTCGTCATCAACTGGGCAAGGCATGCCTGTCAGCCAGGGCGTGGGGGCCAGCGGCAGCACTACGACGCCGATGCACAAGGAGATCGAAAAGGGTTTCAAGGCCCAGCGGCGGTAAAAAAGGTGGTCCTTTTTTTTCATGTAGGGTTTGGTGGATTTGTAGAAAGGAACCCTAATTAAGGCACTGAGGAACATTACTACGTCTTCAGGCGTGTACATTGCGGGTTTCAACCCCATGCCAAGCGGCCTGGGCGCGGTCCCAAGTGAAGCGCGCGGATGGGCGAAGGCGCCTTCCAGCCACGTAAGCTCAAGGACTGTGCAGAGCTGATTATTATAGCTTTGAACTATATTTGTAATGTAGATACTTGTATACGTGTGTTTATGTATGTCTCTAGCTAGAGGTATTTATGGGCTTGGGTTTAGGTTAAAGTATCTTGTCTGACCCCCTGCAATGTGAATGCATAACCGGAAACACAGCGCACAGATGCCTCTCCTCCTTGGAAATGTTCACGTTGGCTGCAATCTTACATTTGCCAATTTAAAATTCACCCGCACCTTTGCCTCGGAAGGCAAATTTGCACTTTGGGACTTTGGGACGTTGATCGAGTGCGTCTGAATTTTGACATGTCTGCGTCGGGAACTGCAGAAATGACTGGCATGTAAGAGACTTCTGTCGTGCTTGGCGATTTGAGACAGGCCCATTGCGCTGAAAAGCGTGCACTGTGTGCACTGTGTGAACACGACGTAGGACATGAACGAATGTCCGTCCCGAGTCGGGCAAGTTCATCGGATACGGCCCTGCTCGCTGAAGATTCGTGGATCTGTGCAAAGAGCCGACAGAGCTCGCTTCCGTCGCTTCGAGTCATGTCCGCGCTAAGCTCGTGTGGGAGATTCGACGACCCATGGCAACAGGAGTCAAGCCACGTGGCATGAATCCAACATGCGAAGGACGAGGCACGTGTACCAGGTCGTGAGTGCCCCCGTTCGTGCGCAACTATGGGGCTGGAGCCCAGATGTGTGCAGCGGGTCTGTTTTGTCGGTTGCAGCGATGCAGACGTAGAGATAATAAGGGGGGACTATCCGTCGAAGGATCGGCTAGACCGTCGAGGAAAAAGAAGTCAGGACGCAGGAACAAACCTCACATTGGAAGTCCGTGCCGAAGGGGCTGTGCTCGTTACGCTCGGCACTCACTTGCACAACAGGGTTGGAGCAGAACATCCAATGCTCAGAGAGAGAGAGAGAGAGAGAGAGAGAGAACGAACCAGAGAGAACCAGAGAGAGAGAGAGAGCGAGAGAGAGCGAGAGAGAGAGAGAGAGAGATAGAGAGAGAGAGAGAGAGATAGAGCGACACACCGCAACGGTCCATCACAAGCACCTTCGATGCTTCGGCCTTTCAAAACAAAAAGGGTCGACTCTGAAATGCGTTGAATGCTACCAGGTCGCCTTGGTGGATGCAGTGTGCGTCAGATTGCGCGACTACGTGTCCAGCAGCTCTAAGCAACTATGGACACCGTGACACATCGTGTTGAGATTTGACATGGAACTCAAGGAGGTTTCACGACGCAGGTATCCAGGTCGAGGCCACAATGCCCGATTCATCACGCCTCTGACATCCTCCAACGACAGACTCCTTATCAGAGCGCGGTGAGACTGCATGGACCATGCCTGTGACCGACCACTTGGTTGCCATGCCGTTGATGTAACACGTGTGGCCGGACCACCGGAAATGGACTCTTGGGTGCGGGCGCCAAATCCTCAGAGCGTCGACATCAGCCACGGGCTCGAAACTGCACGACGGCGACTGCAGGATCGCAACGTTTCTGCATTTGGCAATACTTGGAAACTCTGGAAGACCGTCATTCATGTACTCCGCTCGCTTCTTTCGCGACTGGTTGAACAAAGACTCACCGCATGCATTCTGTCCGGAAAGGGGTGACCCCGATTCCGGAGAAGTGAAACTTCCGACAGAGATGTACAAAAGAACGGATGAGGGTTAAACAAGACCGGGGTGGGTCAAAATGGTCAATTGCAGGGGTCGGTAGGGGTCGAAGAAAGAGGGTTTGGGGGAGGGTGGAATGCTGGTCCAAACAGAGGCGTCGAGGGTCAGGAAAACATGCCGGTGGTCAAAACCGAAAAGGGAGCCCTGAAATGTAGACTTGTATTTAGCTTGATACTTGAACTCACTACGTTTTTGTGGTGAACAGACGCGCGCGCCCGCGCGCGTCTGTGTGTGAGGGAGAGAGAGAGAGAGAGAGAGAGAGAGAGAGAGAGAGAATGTATGTGTTCATGAAGACATGCCACATACATGCAGGCATGTATGCATATACACATGCATGCATGCATGCATGAGTGCAGGTATACTGTATGCATGTATGCATGTGGGAAGTTATGTAGGTATGCAGGTGTCGGTATGTAGGTATGAGTTTGCAAGTATTCATTTTGCAGGTATGTATGTGCATGTATACGTGCATGTATATGTATACGCACTTATGCCTCTATAAATGAAAAGTATGTTTATATATATATATATACACGCATACATTACGTTGCACTGCATTGCATGTATGCATGCATGCATACATTGCATTACATTACATTGCTTTACATTAAACTACATTACAGTACATGACATTACATCACAGTATATTACATTACATTCATACGTACATGCATACATGCACTGTCTCCCTGAAAACCTGACCAAAAGCCCGACGGTGAGGAAACGCGGCATGCGGTCCTTGGCGATGCGCTCTGACAGGGGGCTTGCAAAGTCCTGGCTCAAAGAAACGGCCACTCGGTTTGGGATGTTGGTGCTGGCTTTAAACTGTTTTTTTGCCGCTGGTTGGAAGCCAAATGTGCTTTTAAGGCACTTGGGTTGATACTCCCGAGGGTGATCCATGTTACGGGTGTCGCAATCCATCCTACTAGAGCCACACTGTTCGGCTTCCCATGACAAGCACTCCTGGACTTGCCCATTGCGGTTTTGCGCACTTGTGTTTCTGTCAGGTGCTGCGATTTCGGGCGATTCCTGAAAATGTTGAACTCCCATTGCGTCACAACCGTCATCTGATACTTCCATCCAACCCTTCAACCCTCTTGTGTCAACGCGAAACCCTACCTAACTTGGAAACCCCCACGGTCTGAAACTTTCCGAACCCCAAGAAAGCCTACGACCCACGAACCGTTCAACAAAAAGAAACATCGAAACACGCAGCCTAGCTTGAAACGAAGCACCAAGTCCATAACTCGCCAATACCCCTGGGGAAAAAGGCCCCAAAGCTGCTGGGGCTTATCTCTGTCGATACTGAGCACTACTGTTCCTTTAGGATTCCGCCCCTTGTTCTCACAGAATTATTCGTTCTTGAAACATTTTACTAGTCGGTAGTATCATGTACGCCGAGTCCGTCCTTGCAGTCGGGGCGGGTGCGAGGACGCTTCGGCGGCGAGGCGACGATGGGCGAGCCGATGGGCGAGGAGGGCTCCGCGACGTTCCGTGAGGAGCTCTCCTTGCTTTCAGTACTTAAAGGATCATCGGACTTAGTAAGTAGGGTTAGAAGTCCCCTAATTGGGGTTATAAGTATAGTTACCTTACGTAGTTATAACCCTACTTACTAAGTCCCATGATCCTTTAAGTAGTGAAACTACAGGCAGTGCTCGTTATGTCTCAGGTCACCGCCCAAGGGTAGCAAAACCATCCTAGAACCCTGCACGACCACTCCTGCTCGGCTGTAGGTGCCTTGGCCGCACTAGGCATGGTGCCGCTCGGACATCTTGGACCTTGCAGACGCAGGTCCGGAGCTTCGGTAGGAAGCCGGTAGCGGTGGGGCGGCCGGGGGTGGTCAAGAGACCTTAGGGTTTAGGGTTTAGGGTTATAGGCGAAGTGGAAAGCCTGTTGCAAAAGGGTTATAACCCTCTAAAGCCTACACATTTGACCTGCCCTAAGAGCCCCCCTAAACCCTACGGGCCCTCAAAATCTCAAAGGCCCTTAAACTGGGGAACCGTTTGCAGCCAGGCCTCCTGAGGTGTTGCAGAAAAAACCCCAAACCCAAACCCCTTTTTTTTTGAGCAACCCCCAAACCCTAAAAACCCTAAACCCTATCAACCCTAAAAACTCCCAAACCCTGAAATCCAGAGGCTCTCAAACGCCCTTGAACCCGGAGGAGATCAGCGCCTGTGCTACGAGGTTGACTCTTCGGCGTCGAAGCTTCTTTCTGCTGGCTCTCCTTTGGAGGCCCGGGTTAGGGTCCAGGGCCTACTAGGGCCTCTAGGATTTTAGCTTCCGGATTTAGGGTTTAGGCTTTGGGGTCTAGGCTGGGCCTTTGGGCGTTTCCTGGCCAGGTTCTTGGTGGGAAGTGAAGCCTAGGTTCGAGGTTGCTCAACACAAGCTGTCACGTTTCAAGGGGGTGTCGGTTTTTCTGCTGGGTGTCCTTCGGAGGCCATTGCCCTACAGATAAAAAAAGGGAGCCGGCTGGCTGGTTAGAAGAGCGTTCGGGGCATATTCTAGCAGAGGCAATAAGGAACTGTAAGGAACAGTATAGGTAAATATTCAGACCTTTCTGTTGCGGATAAGGCAATCTTGCCATGATGATAGTTGCACGAACAGCATGTGCAGCAACATCAGTAGTAACAATAATGAAATGAGGCGACAGTAGCAGTGATTGTAATATCGCCATCATCATCACCAACCTCACCACCGCCGTCAGCATCGTTATCATACCACAACGACAATCATAACAACGATGACGGTGAGACGTGGCTTGATTTGCGCGGATACCACCAGGATAGCCAAACACTCGCACTCGGAGCATCCAGGTCCTGACAGAGCTGCGAGAGGAAGTGCTGCATGATCCAGGACAGGTTGGCTGATGCCTCGGAGGTTCGGAATAGCCGTCGGACACACCCGAAAAGTATCTGCAGTGGTTACACCACCCCAAACCCTCCAAGAGTGCCGCACCTGAACGGCGAAGATCCCCACTCCCGTGCCGACCGGTCAACCAAGGAGCTGAGCAGGACTTCAAGGGATCTCGCTGGTCCCGGACGCACGGCAGCCTTCGCAAACTCTGCTTTGGCTGGCCCGGAAACGCACAGCAGGCATTCTGATGTCAAAGAGATGGACTGGCACAGCAGCCGGGCGGCCAGAACGGGCCATCCACCGTGTCGGCCTCCGCCAGCGCCTGTGCCATCGCAATTAGGGAGGCACAGGCACAAGGGCACGCCAGCTCAGGCCATGTCTCCACCAAGGCTAATTAAATCCTTCTTTTGAAGCAATGGACTTGCTTGAAAACAGTATTATACACCCTGAGCATCCCATATTGATTAC